TAGCAAGGAGATGGCCCATTACCCCGTCACTGACAATCTCTTGTGTTCTTAGTTAAACGCTTGATTGGAACTGATAACTACAGACTTAACTCTGCTAGCTTGGTAAATAGTGGATAACCCCTACCACGATATTGTTGTTCGTGGCGTAAGCTAGCAATTAGACATTTTACCTTCAATGAATAACGTTACTAATTATATTCCTTTATTATACCTTTAATTGAACTCTTTTGATCATTTATACAAACTTTAAACAACAATATTTGTATTGTATGAAAAATACATTGGAAATGTTTTAAATTACTGGACATGTAGTAGGCCTACGTACAAAATTTAATATTTAAGAGTACTTTGGTTCAATTAAAAATTATTATTTTGTTGTTATTTTCCCTTTGGTTTTATTGACTGAATCTTGATTATCCAACAACAAACAATAAACAGTTTATAGAAAAGTGAGCATCTAAATGTATTTGAACGCGACTATGAAACTTTGATTGTAAAAAAAGGTTATTTTTGGAACAATTATCTTTTAAATAAAGTTTAGGATCAGTTCATCCGATGATAAAAAACCTGGCGTCAAATTGCATGATAATCGGCCTCTATATTAAAATATTTTCAATCGAAAAATCCCCTAATCTGTTCACAGCAAATCACAAGTTCCTCTCCTTTTGAGACTGAGAGTTTCATCTCTCAGACAATGCGAACTCCGCCAACTTGTCATCATACTGGCATTTGACGTGTCGAGGGGAAAGCTCTTATGAATAGCATGATAATGACAATACCAAGTACGGAGTGACTACAGTCACATCAGTTGCCTCGAGTAAAGCGAGAAACTACAAATTGCAGTTTTGAAAGGTAAACTAACTGCTGATTCAAATAAATATCCATCCACAATTGGGGTTCACCTAGTTTTGTGGTAGAACCAAGGGCTTCAAATTCAGAGGTCCTGGGTTGGATTCCTTCCAATTACCATAGTAAATTCCTGTATAGTATTAGTATTATTAGTAAATTGCATTAGTGTTAGTGTGTTAGATGATTCCTGCTCTTAGTGATGTAGTATTTGCACGACATTTTTGGGGCCTGAAGTAATGTGTACATTGAGCCTATCGTCACAGACTGTAAAGAAAGGACACAGAAATACGCTTACATGTAAATCACGTCGTATTGACCATAAAATATTGAAAGTTTTCAAATTCCACATTTAATAAGCTAGGTGTTACATTTAGTTTCAAACAAGAGACATTAAGCGGCTTTTCAGTCCGGAAATTAAAGAGAAGTTCATCAGACTTGTGTCGAACAACTTGATTTAACAGTTTACATGAAATTTTAAGTTCTCGAATTACGGGGAAAATATCTCAAATATTTAATAAAATTATTACATGATTTTTGTTAAGTTATATTAGTTTTGTATTAAAAATTGATGTAGAACTCTTTACTATGTTGAAAAAGTTGCATTTTACTTTATGATAATTTTAGTAGATGATGATACGGCATCACTCATTAAATATTGGAAATGTAAGGTTAAACTGAGTCTTTTTTCGTTCGTTTCTGAGCAAGAGACATTTATAATAAAAGTATCAACAACCCTTGGGAAAATTATCTAAATTTCACAAATCTTTTTTGCGGAAATTATGTGAATCAAACTCAACTCTCTCCCACCACTAGGCTACCAATACTCTTCTTTAATTGACCCGTTGATTAAATCTGTAGTAATATAATATTTGAGATTTGCTATGTATCTCGAAACAGCAATTTGCATTGTTTATACATGCAGTTGGCCTTCAGAGGTTATAAAGACCTAAGTTTGACCACCCAGAGAGCATTGAGTTGTGTTCCGCGTATGGACGGAAGTGTTTCACCACTTAAGAAACACTTTTTCATGTTCTCAAGTTCATCCGTTATTGTGATTTCTCTTTTTAGATCTGTGTTATAGTGACGATGTATTAAGTAAATCTTTAAATTTAAGTGGACAGTTCCTAATACGATAAGAGTATTATCCATTAAAAACATTATGTCATTATATTTAATAATTTTAAAAATACCATTCAAATAAAGAGATTCTCTTGGTACTGTAAAAATACTTGCATCAATGTTAGTAAAATAAAAAGGAATGCTAGTTGCAGTGATGCACTTTCAATTTTGTAATTAACTTTTTTACTACTAATTAATTTGTAATTAACTTTACTAATTCCCCTAAGTTCGATCCCTAATCGACCCAAAACGACATTATCAACATTGCAGTACATCACAAAGGAAGTAGCGTAGACCATGTCAAAGGAGGTAATGTTTGGCCAACACAAACTGTACAGAAACATTTCTCTTGAGTTTCAACTGTAATCACTCAGCAGTTGACTTGTTTGCTGTTACTCGTTCGTTAAACTATAAACTCGTTACTATTCCAAACTATTGATGATACAATCTAAGCATATTTATATCTATTAAACTATATAGTTTTCTTTATTTGCATTCGTTTTAACTCAAAATTGAATAAACAATACAATGCGTACAATTTTTTTACGGAGGTTATAATTATTTTAAAATGTCATTTTTATGTGGAATCAAGCACCCAGTGATGTGGGTGTCTTCACCACCGTCTAACCACATTGTATAAAGGAACAAATGGAGAGAAATATGTTAAAGCAACCTACAAGAAACCGACGTTTTTCTTTGGATTAAATCAAAGTATCTATACGCGTAAACTATTTACGTTTTTAGAACACCCAAAAATCTTCCTCCACATATTTAAAATCATCAACCTCCCTTTAAAGTTGTCAATCCCCCCCTATATGTCAACGCCCAAGCAAATGTACAAAATGACCATTATGGTTCCACTGACGATCTCATTTCTGGAGTTTAATTTGTTATGTAATTTCTTTGCACAGTCAAGGTAAACTAAGATATTCACTATATCTGGCATCAGCTAGATTTACAGTACTATGTTTATATCCCAGAGTAGTGAATGCATGCCTATACTCGGGACACAGATGTGCCAACAGACTGTGGAGTTTCTGTAGTAAGATCAGTAGTGTTGTGTCTTCACAACAGTCTAACCACATTGAGAGTGGTGATCCGGGAATGAGAATAATTGAATATTTATCAAAACAACTAATAATCATGAAACGTGTCTATGATTAAAAGGATGTGGGAATAATAATGATTCTATGATAATTATTTGAATAACAAAGTGATAGGAATAAAAATAAATAGAAATTTAATTTGTATTCATTTATTAAGGAACGCGGCAGCGTTCCGCCCCGCCAAGTCCCCCAGCGGTACACAGCTGCTGCAGTGTATATATACATGACGTGACAAAGTGGCTTTTTTACTCGTCTATAGCTCTGAAGAAACAAAAGCTATTAAAATAATTGTTCATCTACTGGATAGGGGCAATCATTCTCAACAAAATTAAAAAAAAGAATTTAAAAAACGGTTGTGTTTGAGCCAAGAAAAACTAGTTTGAAAATTCACAAATTTTCCGTGTTCTCCTTCTTCTCCTTAAATGTTGACGGACCTACAGCCCAAACCACTGGCTCAATTTTAATGTTTTTTATGTTGTTTGAAAGCCCTTAGCGTGTAGATGTGCCTTTTGAGGGTCTCAAGTCGGTGCATTGACCCATAAACCCTTGGCAAGCCCTCAAAGTACGAGTTTGGCCCATTTAAATAACATGGGATTAAAATCAAAACAAAAGAAGGACCAGCTGCGATTAAATCTTAATTAATTAAATGTTAGAGAAATTCATAGGAACAGGTGAAAAATTATTTTAATACTTTTATAAAGTATTTTTTTCAGGTATACTGAATGATTTGAACTACTTACTATATAAAATTACTTAGAGCAGTGATATTCCCCGATACTTTCCATTGAAAAATGCAGTGTACCGATGGTACACTGGTACAGCAGCTCGTCATTTTTAACAGTTTAATACTACTTATCAAAACATATGAAACCTAGGAACTTGAAACTTAGTACTAGTACGCTAGTACTAAGGTTTGTTCTATGTTTTGATACACTAAAACAAATAAAACGATCGGGAAAATCACTCTACATATGTTAAACAAGCAATTAAAAAGTGATATGTAAATTTAGGATAAATGAGTTATCAATATTTGTTTTGCCTTATGCTATTTCTAACAAACCTAATTAGTTTGATTACATTTTTACATCTCTAATAAGGGCTCAATTTACACTAGTCTTTAGATATACGGGTTTAATTATTAGAACACTTATGTAACATCAACACATTTTATGTTGTTCAAGATGAGCATTGATGAAATTTGAAACTGAGTTTAAGCCCAGTGGGTTTGTTAAATAGTAATTTTGGTACGTGTGTCAAAAAGTTTTTAATCTGTTTAAAGCAGATAAGACAAAAAATGTAGAATTTAGTTCTACATTAACAATATTATTGAAATTAAATGAGATGTAGTTGTGCCGTGGTCTATATATCAGAGAAAAGAGGATTTTTATTTTAACTGTTAATTTTCTACAAAAATAAATAAAATCTAACAAAAAACCACTAAGTGGTAACACTTTCCCCGCCAAGTCAGCAATCCAAAAAAGTTAATAAATCATTACTTTTTCCGCCAAGAAAAACAATGTAATGTATGTAAGTTTGGCAACTTGGCGGCAGACTTTTGCTTGGTTTTTTTCATTTAAGTTACGTTCGTGGATAATTTCACAAATCAACTTCTCTAATTAATTAGTCCAACTAAGTATAATTTATGAAATGTGGCACAAATAAGGTCAAATTTTGTAAAATAAGCTCTCACCTAGCAATGTACCAATGGGAGGGATACTTGCTCAATGAAACTAGTTTTATGGTATTTTTTAAAGGGATCGAGCAAAAGTCTGCCGCCAAGTTGCCAAACTTACATACATTACATTGTTTTTCTTGGCGGAAAAAGTAATGATTTATTAACTTTTTTGGATTGCTGACTTGGCGGGGAAAGTGTTACCACTTAGTGGTTTTTTGTTAGATAAACTATTTAACAATTAACAACATAATTCAAAAAGGGTGGTGATCTAACCAATACTCATGCTCCAACCCATGTCCGATTTCGTGGTGATGGTGATATACAGGCACCTTGACAGGATAAGGCACCGGCTTTTCTACTGTATACGGCACCTTCTTCTCCACAACGACGGGGTAAGGCTTGGGCACAGACACAGGTACGGGCTTCTCCACAGGCACCTCTACCTTGTAAGGCACCTTTTTCTCTACAGTGTACGGAACATGCTTGACGACAGGCACGTGGACAGGGTAAGGTTTGTCCACAGCCACTTTTACAGGGTACGGCACGTGCTTCTCCACCGTGTAAGGTACTTTCTTCTCGACGACCACGGGGTAAGGTTTAGGGACGTGGACGGGGTACGGCTTGTCGACGGGCACCTCGACCGGGTACGGCTCCTTCTTGTAGACCGTGTACGGCTGCGGGACGTACTCCTTGACCGTGTACGGCACTTTCTTCTCGACATAGACGGGGTACGGCTTGGGCACGTGGACCGGGTACGGTTTATCGACTGGCACCTCCACGGTGTAAGGCACTTTCTTCTCGACGGTGACAGGGTACGGCACAAGCACCTTCTTGGTCACCGTGATGGCTTTGACGTGCTCGTGATGATGTTGGACGTGGTGATGGAAGTGTTCGGCGGAGGCTAGCGTCAGAAGACACAATGTTGCCAGTATAGCGGCCATCCTTGCTGTGTGCTCTGGCAGTGCGTGTGGTGGGTTATATACTACCACATGTTATGCCATGACTGTTGCATGATAGTTACATGTAGGTACAAGGTGGTATGGATGTAATCATCGTCCGTGTAACTAATCTTACGTTATAGAATAAATGAGAAAAAATAACTTAATACATGTTGACAATTGCAAATTATACCGGTACTGCTAACTCGCAAGATGCCAAATACTCAGAAACCTATTGCCCGGAACTTCCGGTAGCCAATAGGATATAAGTATAGACGCCATCAAGGTTCTTGTCATTCACCTATTTGGGTCTGATGATGATTGAAGAGTACATTTTTGATTACCACTTACAATCTTTATATGTACCTACCGTCGTGAGTTAACGGTAATTATGTGTTTCAAGAGTTGTATTAGTTTTTTTTAATTTTACTTACTTTCCAAAACTTATTTATTTTACAAAGTTTGACATGAATACTTAGCTAGACGAGCTTAGCGTTTTAAGAAAACGAATGATCATGCAATTAAATCGTGGTATTATTTATGTGTTAAACCTGAACTTTAGTTTCTAGTAGAATTTTAATGGTGCTTACCTGGAACCATTGTAGACATAATTTCCGCATAGGTACCAAAAGTTTAACGTGGTCTAAACCTTAAAGATCGCATAGCAAATTACTTAGTTGTGTTTTCGGGACTCAAAATTTGGTCTTAAAGCAGCAGAGGTTGCACATTGTAATCGCTAGTGTAAACACGTGTTTTTGTATAACCTGTTTAGGAAAAACGATCAAATAGTATACTTAAATGGCTATCCGTCAATGACGAATCTGTCAGTGATGATTCAATAATTTATTTTAATCCCTTAAATACAGTCCTTCATAAGTATTGCGATATTCACACCTTTTACAGATAACTTTCCACTCACAGCTTCTTAATGCTAAATGCTTTAGATGGGAGTTGAAGGCTTTGTATTGTGATGGAGGTGAAGTGAGGATCAGTCTTAGAAGAGAGGGGACTGATATAAAGGCGATCATTCTGAGGGGACTGCATTACAATACTTATCACTTTAAGATGTTATTCTTTTTACGGATTTTTATTTTACCAAATATTACAAATAATTACGGTGGTAAAATTCACACTAAAATATCTTGCTATGCATCAAAACGTCCTTCATTCTATTAAATCCCTTCAATACAGTCCTTTGTAAGTGCTGTAATATTCACACGTTTTTAAGATAAATTTATGCTAACAGCCTTTCAATGTATGGAGGTTGTGCGATTAGTCTAGAAAAGAAGGGCGTTCATGTAAAGACGATCAATCTGACATTCCAAAACACTCATTGTATTGAGACTTTGATGAAGGTTGAATGGTTTGCTTGAATTTACAATTTGTTAAGAATAAAATTAAGAAGATTTTATTTTCTCCATTAATTTTACAATATTTACAATAGTCATTGACAATATACAACATCAACAAAATATCTAGTTCCATTTTAAACAACTTTATTTAGTTTGTCAAGTGATTAAATAAAGTCCATCTCTTTCCAATGTCATCATGGCTATGTTTAATATAATCAAACACAAGGCACTGCTTTCTTTGGCACTAAGGCAATTTAAAAAAAATACAAGATCAAAGACTTTAACTGGAGAAAATCTATGGCTTCAAAGGCAAAGCCTATTTGGAGGTCCAAATGCAGATAAAAGAAATTTAATAGTATTATACAGTTTCTATTATATAATAATATAATAAAATAAAATATTGCAGAGTTTCAATAATTGTTTGTAAGATAACAATTATTCAAAATGAAAATTTTTTGTGGTTTTCAAGTGTCTGAAACATGTGTGGATGCAAATAACAAATGCCCAGATGTTCAATGAGTTCGCTGACATTCTATGTTGCTGGAGCTTATGAGAAATATTTTCTTACAGTCATCCATGTTTCTTTCTTGAGATGAGCCATATTTAAACATAATAAATAATTCCAAATAACCGTGGTTACAAATAATTCCTCCAGCCTCAACCACACTATAAAACTTTGGAAAGGAATTTCTAAAGTAACTCATGAACAGATTTGAAAATTTTTTTCTTGCTTTTGAATCAGAGCAATAAGATGCAGAGGATTCATTAAATTTGCCTACAAACAAACTAGTATGTAATTTGGTAAGATGTATTTCAAATTTATTCTCATCTTAAATGTGACGAAAATTACATTTTAATTTTTTTATGTTTAAATGTTAAACTTTACATTTTATTTGGACTTTTCTTATTCATATATCCCTATCATATGTATCATTTCAGAATCGTCTTGATTTTAGTACTTGCAATATTTATAATTGTGGTACGCTTTTGTGAGGCACATAAAGAATGAAAATCTATATATATATATAAGGCAAAGCCCTCACTGACTGACTGACTGACTCACTCATCACTAATTCTCCCACTTCCCATTTACCTAGGAGGCTGAAATTTGGTACACTGATTCTTTAGGGATTAAATAGGAAAACTAAGTTGTTTTTATTCTGATCGGACTCTCGGGCTCCACCCCAGTGGCTCTGGAGTTTTTCATGTTAACCTTATGAGTACTCATATTTCAATGGAATTAATGAATCTTAACAGCTGTTTCAATTAAACAAGTAGGTTCTGTTCTATGATGTTCACTAGCATTAAAGTTACAAGGATTACCAACAGGGTGCAGCACTATTATTTTTTTAAATTTATGACAACAGCTAATTTGCAACCAAAAGGTGAGTGAGCGTAGCGAACGAACTTCAACCTGGAGGCGAGTTAGCGTAGCGAAAGAGCTAACCTGAAGGCAAGTGAGCGCAGCGAACGAGCTCCAACCTAAAGGTGAGTGAGCGTAGCGAACGAACTTCAACCAGGACGTGATTGAGCCATGCGAACAAGCTCACTTATGAAGTTAAACGGGGCGAAGCCCACGGGTACAGCTAGTTTCTTATAAAAAGAACAAATGATTAAAAAATATTATCAAGAGAGACTATATAGAGATCTGTCACATCGTAAACAAGTCATGTACTAGCTAAACTCAATCATTCTAAGTTCATATGAATGCATCACTCCATATGTCGATGAGTGCAGTTCCAGGTAGATAAAGCTTCCATTACAATAATTAAAGAACGAGAGATGCATTCAATTGTTTCACACCCATTCCCGGGTGTGCGCCATTAGATGAGGTACATGTGGGGAGAGAAAGCAATAAGGATTTGTGCCTCTTACGTACTTGTGAGGGCTGAGGAATACTACCGACACATCATCTGAAGGCAGATTATTATCTTACAATTGTAAGCATTTAATTCTCCTTTACTTACGTCCGTAGTAAGAATGTGCTTTGTTTGATAGATAATCGTGTTTATTTGTATACACGAATCGTTTAAACATGTGAAAAAGAGGGGCAACTATCTATAAAAATTTAAAGTCTGGCAAAAAATACTGATATAGTTATCGTAGATAAACTATGAGAATATTATCTATTGAGCCATGCAAACGAGATCAGATAGTAAAAATAAAAGTAAGCCTACCGTTATAGGATCGACCGGCAGACACAGAGGTAATTTAACCTTTTATTGATTGTCATACCGATCCGGAACAACAAAAAACAACATAAAATGAAGCTATGTATAATAGTTTGGCCAGCATATCTTAAAATATGCAAACCAACTGCTGTTCGTTATATAAGAAGGTTTCAACTGAATATTATAAGATCCCCGTGCGTAGAACGGGTACACAGCTAGTATTATCTAAAATGCTAATGATATAAAAAATATAAATAAATAAAACTAAAGTACCGTAGGATGGTTTACATTCAATAGTTTCCTCAACAACACTTGGCCAACCGCCATCTTCACAATACAGTTTATCGTCTGTAACAAGCTTGCCGCTGATCTTCACTGGATCTTATCTTGGATGTTTCCCAAGTACACGGTCTCCAGCTCTAAGCTTTTTGTCACCAAGTTATTTTGTGTGGCAATGAATGCACGGTTAGATAAAAAACCTTACTTTGACAGTCCAAAATTAAAATTACTTTTAGAATAAAATTCAAAACAGAAAATAATTAATAATTATCTTTGAAGAGTAATAGTAAATGCTTATGCTTTTAATGTTGGATAGCAAGAAATGTAAGAACAAACATATACATAAGTTTTCATGTCAGACTATATAATAAATCATGGTATATCAGGCGTGTTTCATATGTTAATACATAATCCACCGGTGAAATAAATTCACTATTCACATCCATAAATACATATATTTATTGTTAAACCAAATTTGTTTAAACTATTGTCCAAATACCTCCAGAGAAAGTTTGATCGGAGGTTGATCAGAGTGTTTGCTGTTAATATTGTGCTTTGTACAGTTCAATTACAACCTAAGGGTGGCATAAATAAACTGCCCTACAGTTGAGGCCAAGTTTCTGAGGCGCTTTTAGCTGAGGGTGTTCTGAGGGTGTTTCAGCTGTGACGTACGACTAGAGGATGAGAACCGCCCTAAATCTGAGGTTGTCCAAAACAGAAGCTATTGGAAATCTTATAATACCTCTAACAAAGATTTTTCATTTTCAATGAAGATTTTAAATAGGTTATGCATTTAAACACTGAACTTATAGGTTTTAATTGTGAATAAACGTGTCAGCTGATGAGTAATATCTCTTTGGTCCAATTGATGAAAGTAACTTTAACATGTTACTTTAAAAACTGTAGTAGAGGTAAAAAATCAGAACTTATATGCTCTTCTTAATAACAGCACGCCTATGAAATAAATGATTGATTAGTTGTCCCTTTACAATTTATACTTTACAATACCCAAGAGATTAATTTAAGTGCAGTAACGTTGTAAACGTTAAATTAAACTAACTGAGTCAGCAAGGAGATGGCCCAATACCCCGTCACTGACAATCTCTTTTGTTCTTAGTTAACCGCTTGATTGGAACTGATAACTACAGACTTACTCTGTTAGCTTGGTAAATACTGGATAACCCTCATCGTTGTGATTGTCGTTCATGAAGTAAGCTAAAATTCTGACATTTTACCTTCAATAAATATCGTAACAAGAAATAACTGAACTGTGCATATGAGTATATGTAGCATTTTATCGTTAAATACAAAAAGAAACTGAATATAATAATCTATGTCATTTCAATTGTAAGGTACAAAACATTTTCTATCTTAAGCTATCTTCAACACACAATAACAATAAAGTACTTAAATGTGTATGTTATCACTCAAATAAAACTTTCTTTGTAAAGTTTTAACTTCCTTCATGTCATTCCTTAGTGTATTCAAGTCAAGTTATTATATCTTAACATTACTTACTTAGTGTATACAACTTTCTCATTTTGAAAACAAATTTAGCAGAAATATAACATAAAAAATATATTTTAGAAATAAATGAATTTAAATAAATTTTAAATGTCTGGACATATTTCCAGACATGTACCTAAAAATATTTAAAACCTAGGTATCTATGTTTTTTGGTTTTTTAATGAATAGTTCTTTGGGTTTACTTACAAAATGAAGATCATCCCAGTTAACAAGAATACAAAATTTATAGAATAGAAAGCGAAAAACTGGGTATTGTATACTACTACAAAACCACAAGTAGTTTTAAATGAACACACTTTCTTACCCACTTGCTTTCAAAACCTGTAAACCTGAGGTTAAATCGCATTACAATCGGCCTCTAGACTAAAATATTTTCAATCTAAACGCTAAAGACCCTCTCATATTACACAGAAACTCACAAGCTCCCCTCCTTTTGACACTGAAAGTCTCATCTTTCAGACAATACCATCTCCGCCAACTTGTCATCATACTGGCATTTGGACGTGTCAAGGGGAATATCAAGATGATGGCAATACCAGTACGGAGTGAATACGGTATTTCAATCAGTTGCCTTGAGAAACAGCTAACCTGCTATGTGTATGTTTGTAAAATCTAAAATCGTGATTCATAAAAAAAAAAAACATCTACCGCACAGGCATCTTGTCTAGTGGTAGAAAGAAAGTCTTTGGTCCCCTAGGTTCTGGGTACG